TTCTTTCTTTCATCCTTTCTCTCTCTCTCTCTCTCTCTTTCTTTCTTGCTTCTTTCTCTTTCTTCCTGATTTTTTATTTCCTGTCTCTTTCCTTCCTTCCTTCCTCCATCCCTTCCTTCTTTTTCTTCCTTCCTTCCTTCCTTCCTTTTTTCCTCCCTCTCTTCTCTCTCTCTCTCTCTTTGTCTCTTTTTCTTCCCTTCCCCTCTATCTTTTCCTTCCTCCCTTCTGCCTTTCTCTCTTTTAATTTCTCATTTCTGTTTTCACTCGCTTTCCGATTCCCTTCCCTTCTTCTTCCCCCTCCAACGAAGAGGAGGTTCGGCTCCCAAAGCCAGCGAGGCGGCTCTGGAGCTTCCACTGATCCAATCGAGGTAAAAATCTGGATCCATTGGGGGAGAGCCTGCATTGCTCTCTCTCTCTCTCTCCCCCCCTCACCACCCCCGCAGGGCACAGAATTGGGGGGGGGGGGGTTGAAGCACAGGAACCTGGAGCGCAAGATGGCAGCTGCAGCCACTGCAGGCGAGCGAGGAGTGATGCATTGCAGCTTTGCCTTCTGACCCTCACTCCCGGTCCTGGGCAGGTTGCAAGGCAGGAAAGCAGCTGGCAGGCGCAGCAGCTGGCATTGCGTGCCGGGGGGGGCGGGGGGGGGGCTCTGAAGAGCCATTTGGGGGGGGGGCTGGCAGAGGGAGATGCTCGAAGCACACACACGCACACACACATATACACACACACACACACCCAACCCGGCCAGAGGCTGGCAGCAGGGCAGAGTCATTTGAGACAGGCCAGCTGGAGGTTTCCTCCGCAAACTGGCCAACTTTCTGCAAGCAGGAAAAAAAGAGCAAAGTTGGAAAACTGATGTGGTCAAAAAAGAAAGGAAAGAAGCCAACTTAACATCCGTTTTGGATTGAAAAGGCTGCCGGCGCCGGTGGCTGGCATCGGGACAAACCAGGAAGGCAAAAAAAATAAAAAGTAGGTTCAGGTTCAGGCTGCCTCGCTGGGGGTTCACAGTCCCCCTGGCAGTCCTTGACTTATGGCAACCCAATTGGGGAGAAGGAAGGAAGGAAGGAAGGAAGGAAGGAAGGAAGGAAGGAAGGAAGGAAGGAGAAACAGAAGGAAGGAAAGGAAAGGGAGAGAAGGAAGAAAGGAGGGAGGGAGGGAGGAAGAAAAGGAGGGAAGCAAAGGAAGAAATAGAGAAGGAAGGAGGGAGGGAGGGAAGGATGGAAGGAAGGAGTAGCGATGTAATGGAGGGAGGGATGGAAAGAAGGAAGAAAAGAAGGAGGGAAGCTAAAGGGGAAACAGAAGGAAGGAGGGAAAGGAAGAAATAGAGAAGGAAGGAGGGAGGGATGGAAAGAAGGAAGGAAGGAAGAAAAGAAGGAGGGAAGCAAAGGAAGAAATAGAGGAAGGAAGGAAGGAAGGAAGGAAGGAAGGAAGGAAGGAAGGAAGG